GGTAAAGGTGTCATTATTTGAGCTTCTTTGCTCCTCTTAGGGACTAAAATGCTTGTAGGTTGAATAGCTGATTTGAATTAACATATTACCCGGTTGAATCATTCTTTTGAAAATAGAAAGTTACTATGTGCAATAACCTGAACTACATTGGTATTGATTATTCTGTGTGAAATGTTTTTTTTTTTTTTTTTTTTTTTTTTTTTTTTTTTTTTTTGGAAAGTGTAATTTGTTAATTATTCTTTTTGGCTCCCCGGGGAGGGTATTGTTAATTTATCCAAAGTTTTATTTGATTATATTTACTTGAATGTAATAGAAATAATAGTTTAATATTAGTGAGTCTTAAGATAAAAGTAATATTACTCTGTAGGGGTATGCATTTGTAGAAATCAATATTTTACAGTTCAGCTTGAATATAATTTGCTTACTAAGTTAATTCTGCATTGTGTAATCATCAATATGTTTGCAGTTCTGATTGAATATAAATTGCTTTACAAATTAATGGATTAAGTAATTCTTGAAGAATTTAATAAATAGGCTCACTTTTCTAGATCAGTCAATGTTTATTTATTTCTTTTTTTTTTGTGTGTGTGCTCATGATTTTCACCCGTCTCTTTCTCAAATTGATTTCAGGGTTAATCCGAAAACACAACGCAAAATGTACAGGGCTTAGTGATATTAGTATATTACTGTTGTTAGAAAATTTTAAGTGTTTTGTCAACAGAGTAGGAAACCTTTTAGGTACCTTACCTTTAAAAACCATAACATTTTTGGTGCCGTGACTCTAGCAACATAACAAAAGCCTGGAGATGACACTGTGGGCAATTCCAAGTTCGTCTGATACTTCCAGATGGGTACGCCCACATTCCAGACGACCGATAATTCTACCACATAAAAAATCATCCAAATGCGTCCTTTGTGTCATAACTATTCGGTTATTGCACTGAAATGTTTATAAAGCGCCTGCGAACAATTTTACTTCTTTGTATTTCTTATATATCACTCTCTTACACTCTCGTCATTGTGACGTACCATCGGTGTCATCTGGTTACTTCCTGAAATTTGCATATGATTCTTTAAGATGTGTGTAGTGATTTTACAGGTGATATATTTATTTTAGAGTTCGATTTCCGCGTGACTCTGAATTATCCTTAATTTATGGACATGAGTGTAGATGAGACACTTGCACTCTAGACGAGACAGACTCACTCTCGATTCTAACTGACTGCGGACCAGCAGGGTTTATATAGCTTTCGGCTTGTGTTCGAGAACATTCTGAGCTAAACCGTAAGCCATGGCATATCGCCAATTTTGTCACCAAATGGGCGATTTATCGCCAAATGTGGCAACCGTGCCTTCCACTGCCATTTTATGGTAACCCAAAACGTACTTTGCGGGGAAGCTATCTTACCGCGCCTGGACATTACGTAACAACATAAAATTAAATCTCTGCTGTTAAATGAAATTAAAGCCTGTTCAAAAAGAATTTCCATTTCGGCATTTTTGTTTTCCTTTTTTCGAACTAAAATAGTATAAGTAGATAGAAGAACATAAAAATATTAAATACGTATAATATCGTTTGATTAAAGTTAAAAAAGAAATAATAATGCAATCTATATTTTATTGCAGAATTTTATCACAACTTTTTTAAAACGTCAGTTTGGATGCAAATATAACTAAGAACTTTTATAATCGATTTTTTAAAAGGCGTTGTAAACCTGTTTCTATGACATCCAGGATATAAAATAACGGCTATTGCAAAATATTAAGAAATTTTGGAATAACTTTTTTAATGATAAATTTAAACTGTACTGAAACTGTACTGTTCTGTGGAAATTTTACACAGAACTGAATTCTATAAAAATATTGCTTTGCTAAGTCATATAAAAAATTAACATTATCTTTTAAAAAATGGTATGCTATAAAAATCTGAAAAGTTTTTGAACTGCAATCAAAGCAAATTTTTAGTTTCTATGTACTATATTAGATACAGAACAACAAAAATAAACGCTTTATATTTATTAATGTTGAATTATTTTTTGAATAGATATTTTTGCCTTTTTCCTCTAGCTTAACTTTTTTTTTTTTTAGGTTCTAAATCCATGTAACATGTTGTCCAATTTTTTGAACAGCATTGTTTATACAATACAGAAATGAAATCTTGTAAAAGCGTAAAATCAATTTAAATCATAAAATTAATCAAAGATGAAATTTATGCTGTTAATCACAAAATTTTAATTCCTGAAATTAAGGATTTTAATTATTGTATATGTACGCCTGAGAAGAGAAATAGTTTATTAATTTTAATTAAACTTAATTATTATTTGTTATTATATTTTTTAATGTTTTTAAATAGAACAACGCATTTATTTGTATTTAATATTTTTTAATCGAGGCGATATTGAATTTTTTTATTAGAAAACATACACCTGTTTTGAAAATTTTTATTCCCCTCCTTTACGTCATAGATCATTTGAAAGTTATACAAGGCTAAAAATTTTTATTCAGAAATGAAAATTTAATCTAATCTTTTTATCACAAATGCAAATTTTGTTGATTTTGCAATGCTTTTAAACACTCAAAAGCTTCTGTAGAAGATTAAAAAAATATTAAAGCAAGAAAACTTGAATAGAATTCTTTAGATTTATAGCCCAATTTTTTTACTATGTAAAAGTCCCAATCACATTATGTTTCCGCTACGAGGGACTGAAAGTCAAAAGGGACAATTCTCAGAACCCGCACATTTCCAGGAAACCCACGTAGCTAGGTTACCATTTTTCTTTTACTACAAAGATTTGAACGCCAAACAGTAGTCGATTATCGCTCAGATTGGGATCACGTGATCCTTCAGAAGTAGAACTTTCGTCTGATTGGTTGTTCTCTACGCAGGACAGAACTCTAGCCGAAACATTTTCGGCGAGGTGTCAAAAAATCCGGCGTAGCCGGTACATCGTTCCCGCAGCTAGGCGGGACTTCGCTTCCAGCGGGGCAATTTTTTTCCAGGAAAAGTCCCGTCTAGCAGGAACCGTCGCTACATATGTTAACCTCTTTGGAGATCCACCCGTGGTCGGTGTGGGGTCTTGTACGCAATTAATGCACTCGGATTAACCTTTTTATTTATTCACACGCACATTGTAGATTATATACACTTTATACAAGTGGAAATATATCAATTGATAGAATTATAAAAATTTATAAAATTACCATACTGAGCATTCGGCATCTCCCACCGAAACCCAGTCTCCAACTCACCCTTTTTCGATGTAGAGGGGTACCTCTTTTTGGGATTACAGTCTTGGAGCAGGCACAACAAATTGGATCTGATATTTTCAGTAGAATTCTGTTGGTTGTTCTGCACAAATTATTTAAGAGTTTATATATGGGACTATTGGAAACAATAAAATTTTGAATTGCACAAATCTCTGTAGAATATATATGTGTATACTAATGGCAATGCATGAAACGCCGGTATTCTATAGGATACATAAGCATTTCATAAATGCCTGACATTTTTGGGTAAAGTATGAAATACGAGAATTAATATATACTTTCCCTAGCTTTTGTATATCATAACAAATACAAATATACAATATGGGCAAAGTAGGAAAAAAGTTCATGATAAGGCTATTATTTAAAAGTAGTGCATTCCTCAAAATAGAATGTTATTTTGAAAAAATAGTGAGACTGGCATTAAAAAACTTTTATTCAAAATACGTAAAGAAAAATGAAAGTTGTACGAACAAAATTTATGCCTAGGTTATTTATTAAAGAAACTATAATGTATGAAAATACATGAAATGTATAGAATTATGGAATGAATGTATTAAATGTAAGGATCATGTATGAATGTATTAAATACATGGATATTCGAAACAAATCTGAGATGTATTTCATACTTTGCCGGTTTATCATTTGGCATTCTATAGAATGCCTAGGAAATGTGTGAAATGTTAATCACTTCATGCATTGCAGGCCAGTTTTCTACATTCTATAAAATGCCGGCTTTCATTATATTCCTGGTAACATATGCACATACCGCTACAGAATGTCTGTACATAACTCTATAGAAACTGTACCTAAAATTATATATAATTCTTTAGAAGAACCCTGACCTAGTTTATAGAGAATTGGGCCTTAATTATAAAGGATTCTAAAGATTTTAAATTAAAGAATTCCTGAAATAAAATTCTTTAAGGATTTCTGACTTAGTTTATAGAAAATTGGGCCGCAATTATAAAAAATTCCAAAAAAGTTGAACATTAGTTTTTTTTTTTTTTTTTTTTTTTTTTTTTTTTTTTAGAATTCTAAAATATATTCGTGAGAATGCGTTAATGATAGACGTGACATTCATCTGTTTAACGCCTCGAATAGGTTTCCTTTTCAGGTACAAGCAAAAAAAAAAAAAAATAAAAAATAAAAAATAAAATAAAATAAATAAATAAATAAATAAAAAATAAAATAAAATAAAATAAAATAAAATAAATAACATGTATATATTTAAAAATAACCTGAAATGTTTCAGATTTTAAATTACGTCCAAACGGGCGTTTTTTTTTTTTTAATGTTTTGTGTGTTACCTTTATTTATTAAATATCATGTTCTTTGCACCTAAACCATAAAATTTATTTCAATAGCAATGTCGCAAAATAATTTTAAAATGAGCCTATCTTTAGAACTTCCGATACACAATTCGACGCGCTGGAGATAAAAGCAGTCTGACACAAAATGCCAAAACGAAAGTAATAGTCCTTCGGGATTCAAATCCCTTTGGACTAATAAAATTAAAATAAAAAAGTATCCGCAGTTTTTTTTGGGGGGGGGGACGGTATGAAATCTAGTTTTCGGCACAAATTACCTTTTTTAAAAATAAAAACGTGCCTCTCCCCGCTGTAATACTGGTATGATCCGCTCATCTCTCCGTCTGTCGTGCTCACAGTGTTGTAATAGCTGGATCAAGGTCCTTGGAATTTGAAAACCATTCGCTGATATGCGCACAGTGCTTTAGAACGATGGTGTTATCGGTAGCAAGAAGTTCAACGTCGCATATATTTTTTTGACAGGTTTTATCGAAGGGGCAGAAAAAGCGGGCAGTGAGAAGGAGGGGAATCAGCCAGAACCTGTTCTTTCATTCACTCAGTTACATAACATTATGAAGCGACAAACAAAACAGCATTTGCTGTACACATTTTGAGATGGTATGGTTGTTTCTCCTCGTCGCAGGAGTGTTCCTGTTTGTGGTCTTCATTCGAACCAAGAAAAAAAGGATGAACCCCTCTGGTGTGTGCGTCTTCGTCAGCGGGTGCGACACAGGCATCGGACACGAAGTGGCCATAGACCTGGACAGCATCGGATGCACGGTGTTTGCCGGCTGCTTGCAACCCGAATCGTCTCGTCTCTCACTGCCCGCGTCCGTTCACGTGGTGCCCTTGGACATCACAGATGAGGGAAGTGTATCCCGGGCAATAGAAGACGTCGAAAGACATTTGCAAAAAAAGGGAAAAGGTAAGATCTCTATTTTTGTTGTTGTCACTAATCTCACTTGTCTGACTTAATCAGATCAAGCCTTCGAATTCCCAGTTTTGAAGGAGAACACCGCGGGGACTGATCCGGTCTTCTCCCTTCCCTCTTCCTCTATCACTAACCTCTCGAGAGGAGTTTCTGCTCGCCGCATGTTTTGTGCCCCGTGCCCAGGTACTATACATTTACAAACATCCATGCCTTCTGCGAGATTTAAATTCGGGCCCATCGGTACGGCAGCCAGCGTCACTAACCGCTTTCTCGTCTAGGCGACGGTAAAATCTTTCGATGCTAGAAAAGTGGCTCTCATTTTGTGGTACGCGAGCTTCTAGGAACACGAAGCAAAGATGTTATCATTTATCTATTTTTTATTTCTTTGTAAGAAGCAAAGGGAGTATTGTTATAAGGTATTTCTCCCACCTTCTTCGTGATGTAGTGGTCTGCAGGTTCAGCGAGTAATTGAGAGGTCCGTGGTTTGATTCCCTGCGAAGGCGTTGCATATTTTTCATCTTTCTTGCTTTAAAATACCTAATGTTTCTACATTGTATTGTATTGTACAAAAATGTTGGGTATCATTTTACGGGAATATCCATTTTGGCTGTTCTCGAATTGATTTTGACCATTTGTTTTTGCGTGACATTTGTACGTACATAGGACAGAATAAAAGACTCTTTTTTTTTTCTTTTGCACTATGGATTATAAAATGGATTTGAAAGGGATGTTTTCGTAACGTGTGTACGTAAGTATGTATATATGTCTGCATGTATGCATGCATCTCGCATAACTCAAAAACGATTAGCCGTACAGCATTGAAATTTGTGTATGGGACTGCTATAATATCTAGTTTTGCACCTTCCTTTTTTATTGCAATCGGCAGTACCAAACGTATATCAAGGGTGGCCAAACTTCATAATAGTAATAGCCGCATATTAGGGTTTAGAAGTTTGAAGAGTCGCAACTAAATCTTTTCCACAAGCCCTATTTCTTATTTACTTTTTTTTTTTTAAGAGGAAACAGAGATTCTTAAAAAGAAACTTTTGAAGTAAATTAATGTGAATTCCGCATTTTCCTTTTCGTTTCCTTTCTTTCCCCCTTTATGATATGGTTATATAAAATTTTAATTGATATGGGTATATAAAAGTAAGAACTTATAAAAGTAAGAAACGGTGTAGAACTTTTATATTTCTCCTATTCCGTTTGTACCTAAGATCGCATGATGTAGTGAACATTCGACTTTCAGGGTAGGAACCAAGCATTTCTTCTTTTTCTATTTAAATATTTAAATTGTTTTCAAGCAATCTGCATACTGTACTTTGTTAAAAACTTTAGAAGTTATCTCTCGAATTGTCTGGATAAATCTGGACATAGACACCAACAGGTCGTATAGCATGGTACATAAAAGCTACAACGTAAACACGATTCCGATTGTCCACCACTTACACTGTTCATCTATGGTTGCTGAATTTTGAACTGTTAATTGGAATCTGAGATGCTACTCATATCCGTTTATTAAATTGTGTTGAACAAATGAACCTAAAGATTCATGATCTTAAGCATGCACTTGCATACTTTTAATAAATATAGGTGTATTTTTAAGGAATATATCCTTAATTATTTTTTTATATAAAACAAATTTCAAATTTTGCTTGATTTAAAATCTTTCAAAATTAAGTAAAAGTTTTTTTTTTTTTTTTTTCTTTTTCTTTTATTTCTTCTTCTCCATTCGAAGGATTCAATTTATCCGATATTCAACAAATTCACAAATACTTCAGCTTTCAGATTCAAATTTGAGGTAACTCAGGATTCAATCTATCTTTCTTTCTTTATTTTTTTTAGCCCAAAGGGGCATTATACATAAAGAGCTATTAGTCTCAAAACGGCATTTTGCGTCGTTTCACTTTCTGCGTTGATTCACTCTCACACCGTGGTAAAACAACGTTACCTAGAGCCATCAAATTTTGAATAACGTACGTCGCCACCCGAATATAGGCAATTGAAAGCTCAAATTTGGAATTTGTATTATCTATTTCATATTTTGTCAAACATTAAAGAATTTTTGATTAACAAACTCAACGATTTCAAAGCGGGCAATGGCAACACTGTAGGAAAAAAAAAATATATCCAGCACGTAAGACTGTGTATCGGAAATTCTAGATATGCTCTTTTAAATATTTTGTTATATTGCTGTTGAATTGAATTTTATGGTTTAAGTGCGAAGAACATCATATTTAATAAGTAAAGGTAACACACAAAACGTTAAAAAACGCCTCTGTGGGCGTAATATAAAATTCTGAAAAAATTTAGATTTTTTTTGTTATTTATCTTTTTTGTCCGTCCACTATAAACGGCGGATCACTTTTCGAATTTTTGCCGCCACGTTTCTCCTGCTGTCACAAGTTAAAACTATAAAACTATTCATTTACCTTTCTCTAACACTGTATGGTAAGATTTGAGACAAATCGTTAGTTCATTGTGTACAAACTAGTAAGACTGAAAAGTAGGTGATGCAACCGAAATGAAATTTACTTCCCACTATCAACTGCGTCATGGAAATTCCAATTAGGACAATAAAAATAAAGTTTTATGGGCTATGGGTAACTGAATGGCAGATAATATGATTTAGTGAATAGCAGACCAGCCATCTAAAGCAAGATTTACATGATTATTCCTGCCAAAATTTCCATTAAAATGTGCATTTCACATAGTGTCTGATATATGTCTTTCGAAAAAAAATGTTTATCAGATAGATATCTGAATTGAGCTTTCATTATGATTATTATTTTGTAATCTATTAAAATGGAAGATTTAATATAAAATATTTTACACGTTATGTTTTAGTACAGATGTCAATGTTACTAAGGATTTTTCTGGAAACCACTCCAATTTAAAGCATATGGAGAAGCTATAATAAATAATGGTAAGAAATTTTTAAGTGTGGACTAAACAAGAAGAAGGATGTTATGAATGTTATATAATAGCAGAAGAATTCTCTTTTTTATACATAATGCGTAATTTTTTCTCTGTATTTCTATTTCCTCTGTAATGTAATTTTAATAATTTATACCACAGCTTTAGATATAAACCTGCTTGATTTTGGACCAGCTGAATTCCAGATTTGAAACGCGCCTTCATGACATCCTATCAAATTTGATAGATAGTTTCCTTTACCTTATAAGTAGTCATATATTAACACCTGGCAACTTTCAATGGCGGGATAAGTTGTATACATTTGTATTGTTTTGTAATTGAAAATTGGAGACAAAAACATGTGTTTGCTTGAGGTCTTTAGAATACATTTTGAAAGGTCAAGTGTTTGAAATGTAGTCTGCAGGTGTCTGTGGTAGTGGGATTGCAGAACATTAAATATAGTATTTAAATACAAAATACTTGCATATTAAAATACAAAACATTTTACAGCGCGTTGCATGAAATTAGTAACAGTTAGGGAGTGGATGATCTTTTGTTGAACTTTCTGCTTTGTGAAAAATATATCAGACGCACATTATGACTGAAGGACAGGAAAATCAAAACTATTAATAGATGATAAAGTGTAACGGGCTAAAAAGGAGGAAGATCGTCAAGCAACATGCGGAGAAATAGCTCAAGCTTGAACGATTTTCTCAGCATCAGTGTACAGTATTTTGAGAAAAGCTTTACAGAAAAGAAATAGTTGAGCTTTATGGGTTCCTTACCACCGGAGCATTATTATATGGATTACGGCAAACCATACAGGGGTTATCTTTAGGTCTTAGTCTTCGCTTATTCAATAGGTATACGACCCTGAAGTCTTTACCTATCTATAACTGTCCTTAGTAGGAATCCTAAAAGTGAAAAAAAAAATTCCAAATATTGGAACAAACCTGTACACTTGAAGTGTTGAATGACATTCAATGTGGCAGTATGTAACATTGGCAAGGGGTTATCTGCTGCCTAGGGTGGGTTGCTTTCATCGAAGGCTTTTTAAGAAAAAACTGGCACGCATTCTCGTTACAGTTGGAGAGAAAACTCTCCTTATTGCTTGATGCGATATCGTTGGCAAATTTTCCCGCTTTTGTCAAACAAAGATTTGATAAAAGCTTGAAAATTTGGAAAAACTTGGATTAGAGGCATCGAACTAGAATTGAAATCGCGATCAATCCAGTAAAGAAATCCATTCTTCTAACGATCCCAAAATTTTCGACATGCACAATCAGAGATGAAATAAATGATGATTTATGTTAGCACCACTAAACAATTACAAAAGTTAGAATTACAGGAGGAATCATTATAACTGCACGATATTATTGCGAGTGACTGAAAAAGTGGAAAAAATACAACCGAAACGATCTGACTTGCTTAGAAATGAAAATAGGGAGATTGTGATAACTTTACTGATCAAGCGTCATCAGTTATAAAAGGTCTACGTACGCAAAGAGAGATGGTATCACCGGGGTGCCTGGGTCATAGACTCTACCCTCAATCGAAAATAGGCTACTTCGAATTATTAGACTAAACATAACTAAGAAGATATATAAATATGTACAAAATGACAAAGCTCTTTTTTCCCATAACTAATGAATGCAGTTATGGTGAATATTTATAACAAGTTAAAGCGTACCAGAGTCGATAAAAGTGAAAATGCTACCTATAAAAGCTGCAGAAGCCCGTCGAGCCAGTGAGAACAATTATGACATAAACATATAACAGTCAAACGGGTACAAGGTAAATGCAAGACCTAGTGTGCAATATTGTAATAATATGTAAACTAAATCATGAAAAAAAATTAAATAAAGAGTACAAAATAAAAATATACAGTTATATACAATACAAAAACATACTATGCAGAAAGGCAACCATGGTGTTTAAAAAATAATACTTAATCAACATTGTCACTGAGGATGGCCATAGGCCTTTGGATATAACATTGATCATTAGCATCATAATCATACATTTTAATAGCAGGGTTATTGATAGATTTCAGATCATTGTAGAATTTCTTAGCGAGG